TATATCAAATCACTGAAACTCGAATTGAATCTCGTTATAGTTGCTACCCTTGTCACTACGTTATATGTTTAATCTTCTTTTCTAGATGTATAATCAGATAAAAATTCACATTTAAACTGGTCACTTTAACAACATTAGTTTATTACAGCTGTTGACGACTTGACGCACCAACCAAAGCAAGATAAAAATATAGTTACTATTCGTCTGTATTTAACTAAAGATTCAAATAATTCAGCTAAAAATCATTTAAACTTTCAAATCATTTTGTCTAAAGGAGTTTAAGAACAAATACAAATACTTAGGACCTATGTATATAAATGCAAATATAAACCTTGACGATTTCACTTTGTAAATAATATTTTTGTTTCTTTGAGGTTGGTGAATAAAACGTAGGTATGTAGAACTGTCTATAGTGTATATTTGCATAGGTAACTATTGTTTCATATTATGTTGTTACTTGTTTCGTAATATTCAAAATTAATAAATATCAATTTCAAAATTGCTTTTGTTTTACATAAGTTTTAAATTATAAACAGTATTATATAAATATAAATTTAATTAAATAATGAAAAATTGCTAGTGAAGATATAATATAATAAAATATTATTTATTAGCACCAAAAGTGTTGTTTTTTAAATGTTTTAAAGTGTCATTGCTTATTAATTAACTGGTACGTATCCGATAGTCGATAATTACAATATGTTTTATAGTTTTGAATTTATGTCAGTAGCTTGTATTCCGGCAAAAATAAATAAATTGCATATTTAAGATATTTGCAGAGATCTATACAATAAAAATTCACCTATCCTCTTCTTTCTCCTAATTTCTTGTATCTCAACATTCACAACCACCCCTCATGCTAAGAGTCACTAGTGGGTGACTTCTTAATCACGTTTACCATGTTATTTTTAAGTCTCCTATCAGATATACCTATTGTGCTACCTAGTACTCAGTATAGATATTATATTTCTTATATATGTATATATATATTTAAGGTAGAAGTAAGTTGATAAGAAATGTAAAATTAAAAATAAGAATCATTTTAATTTCAGAGTATTAAAAAATAATTAATATCTATAATTTTATTAAAAGCAATGTAATTCTAATATTATATTAGATTGAATTAATAGACTGCATAAAAAAAAATTATCAAATCGAGCTAATAATATCATATTTAATATTTAAATTGAATTTTTTTAGATTATCAACAGGTATTATTTTCATTTATTTACTAACTCACAGTGAAATAGTGTTTTATATTATACTTGTCAAATACTTTGTTTCAATATGATTTCAAAAGYATTATGTCTTATGCACAAATACTGTTCAATATTGTAAGCAAGTTACCGGTGCGTGACAGATATGAGACAATAGTACAATACAACATGGAACGTTTGTCGTTTAAATCGGTCGATATAACAATATGTCGAGTGTAAAAAATACATTTGACAGGACAGTAAGATAGCCATGTAAAAAAAATACCAGTCGTTTCTCGTTAGAAAGGGAGGTCCCTCAGCAACGTTTTCTTGTTTCATTTTTATAAGTAAGTACCCATGTAGATGGTATGTACATACTATATATATATATATATATTTATATATAGTGCAATTGTATACGTGTTCTACCCAAATCAGTGACAAGTTTGTTCAATACACTCTAATATATATAAGATATGTGTCCGGTTTTTTTATTTTAATATAAATAATTGTGTACATACCGTAGTACGCTTTACACGTGATTTCCAATGGCCCGTTTTCCATGACGGGTGGCAATGTGGAATTCCAAACGACGTTTTTCTCGTTGTCTAAGATTTCCAGTCTGCTTGGTGGTACTATATTGGACAAATGGTTGAACAATTCTATCAAATAACTTTTTACTTATATATTATTGTGATCTTAATAGAAAACTGTTATCTTAAAAAAAAAATATTTTAAATTAATACATTATTATTCTCGGGTACTCATTATTTCGATGTTACTCTATCATCTACTTTTATTTTCCTCATTTATAGGGCRGTATATTAAATTATTCCATGTATAATATATATAAAATTAATTAATTTAGGACTCAGGTKTTTATAGATTYGCATGCTATTCATMAATTTCTCCACATCATTCTATAGATAGATATTTATTCTAGGTATAAATGTTTAAGGTAAGTACACTCAATACTTTTAGGCGACATCATAAATAAAATATGTCAACAATTTCTGAAATATTTCTTTACGTATTCAGTTTTAAAAAGAAGAGTGCACACTTAGTTATAAATTTATCTTTTTAAGCGCAAATTTAATACCTTTTTTTCGCAATTAAGAGGACGTCCACACACCTATAAATTGTTGTTAAAAAATGTATCGCATGAAAAATAACCACTCAGGGAACAGTCATACATGATAAAGTAGACAATATTTTCTGTACCGTAAGGCTTTTATTTTTTAATATTGTAAATACAAATAATAAATGATAATCATTTTAAAATATGTTATTTTTGAGTTTTTCAAACTTAAATAATTGTATTTGTATTTATGATATTAAAAAAATAAAACGCTACAAGAAAATATTCTCTTCTGTATAAATTTMGTTTATTCCTGGAGTCTGAATTTTTAAAAGATTATAAAAACCGATTTTTATATACTTCCKTGAGTCGTTATTCCAACAAACACTTTGGTGTTACAGTGTTGTAAACAATAGTTTATAAAAAGAATTTAGATATTATTAGAAAACATTTTATAAACATTTTTTTATCGACTAGTGAACCATATAAAATTAGATAATATGGTTTATACTTTAATCTTACATTGCTAATTTTAAATATTACTATACCTAACTTAGTTAACAGGTTTTAACAACTCAATTTAAATGACTTACAAAATAGTAGTTAAAAATAGTTATTCATTGTAGCATTATATTAGGAAAAATATTTGTTGACCGTTGTTATATCTTATTATTTATTTCTATCAATAACTTATGTTTATTAAGTATCTATATCCATTATCATATTTAAATATAAAAYAATTTTCAATGTAAACACATTTATTGATTAAAGGTTTATTGTTTAAGTTGAAGTTAAATTATTATAAAGATAGCATTGTATTAATTTTTTCATGTTAAATTATCGAATTACATTTCAAATAGGGGTCACTTAAAGGGCAACGGCACGCGGAATCTGGTATATATGTAAAAAGATAAAAATTTGGTCGATGAACACATCAACTTATTATCAATATTGTTTTATGAAAATTCCAAATACTTTAAATTTAAATTTGGTGAAAAAATGGTTTTTAGGGAAGTATTAAATTAGTACAGTAAACTAGTATTTAAAATGTACTTAAATAATAGTCGGTACTCGGTACATTGTATTTAATACTTAAAAAACTATTAAAATATTAATACTCAAATACTTTAAGACACTGCAAGGAACCACTTGTAAGATAATTTAAATAAGTGTTCAAATATTTAAGATTTAAATTCTTTTCAAAGTTTTCTGGATAAAAACTCCTTAAAATACCATGGTGTCTTCTTAATACGAGTAATTTGTACGCGCTGTTATTTTTTAAATACCTAATTAATTAATTGTAACTTTTTAGTTTTTGTAAAAAATTTTATTCATAACTACATAATTTATCCATGACATTATTTTCTTTAGGATGTTTTTAAATACAAATCTTAATATTATAGTTATCCCTTATTTTATAGTTCAGTATTATATACAATAAAATATTAATTATTATTCTTATACATTTATATAATATTATATAAGCATTATAAGATGGGTTTTTTAAAGGTAAAAATTAATTTTTCTTAAAAAATATTTAAGCTTAAGTAAATATTTTTTTCATTTATGTATAATTTAAGGTCATCGCAAAACATTATTTTTGAAAAATATATTTTCTTCGTTTTATATTATTATTAATTTTTTTGTTTTTACTTTTTTTTTAATGACAGCATACCTACTTTTTGAGATTTKTTATTCAAAGTAGAATATTTTTCTACATAMWTTTTTGAACAAGGGTAAGATATGATATATTAGTTATAGATTATACCTAGTTGTAACTTAGTAGCTGATACAGGTAACTCACTAAACGTTGGTATATCGCTTCACTCATCTTATTAACATAGAAATACTATTTTAATTTATAACTGATTAACTAATCGTTAGAAATTCGGAAAATGTTGATTGAGTTACTGAAATCTTATTTATTTTTTTTGTTAATACAATTTCTACTTTGTATAACTATATAACTTTCGTAGCAAGGTAACATGATCTTAAAAATATAATCATAAATTTATTATTAAATATTATCATTGGTGGCAAAAATATTATCGCGTGAATAATATATGCAATATTTATACAATGTTGKTATGATATTATGGGCATTTACTCACAAAATATTTTTAAAAAAATCATTAAAAACTGATAATTTAAATAGATAGTGTGAAATTATGCAAAATAAAATTGTTATTAGCTATTTATACGCAGTTGACGCAGTTGATCATAGGTGAAACTAGAAAATTGTATTAGGACAG